CTAAAGTTTAAGTTAGTAAAGGCAGTGAAACTTCGCTAATTAACTTAACCTAACGTGCTCGGGCGAGGGGCACTTATAAATTGTAATTTAAACTGCGCAAGCTACCGGTCTACGTCTACGAACTTTTTAAAGGTGGAAACTTTTTTAACTATGCAAATTCCATTTGTCGAAAACGAAAAACGGGAGTGAAGTTGTTCGGATGTAGCAATAGCGTCGGTAAACTTTAAATTTCCTTCGTTGTAAAAGCGGAGGAGAGTTTGTTCACTCGATTTTTTATTGTTATCTTCCGGATAACAGGTGTAAATAAATTTGGAGAGGGAGAAATGGGCGCTGTCTCTTTTACAATTTATCGTCACGCGGTGGCGGCGGCGTCGCGAATGCCTTTCGCTTCAAAACGGTTATGGTTTCAATCGAAATTTACACTCCGATTGAAAATTCGCATTGTTTTGCAGAGGTTCTGTAGAAATTTGGGAAAGTTGACGAGTTTCCGCTTTCATTTCCATTTTAACTGGAGGCAATATTTTGTGAATTTTAAATCGCGAAAAGTCGAAATCGAAAATGTTTGTTTTTGACAATGTAGAAATTAAAAGTTTTCACTTCCTGGGTTCATTTGATTTACGAAAAAATGTATGCAAATTCAGATTTACCTAACTAGAAATCCTGCAAGTGAAGGGTGTGATAGCTTTCAATGAATATATTGATGTCACCAACACTATACTTATTATTAATTATTATTATTAATAATCTGATTGTTTTTTCAATGACTTTTGATTACAAATAATTATAGACTATAAAGTATTGGCGCAATAATAAAATATTCTTTTCTTATACAGGCTGATTCAAGCATTATTATTGCTTACGGTTTATTACTTGTTGAAAGATCCCCGTAAGCGTTTTGATAGATGGCTCCACCTATTGTTGGAATTTAACAATGCAATTTACCGCGCATACCGTCAGCGCTTCGATTAGTGCGTGAGTTAGAGCGCATGGAATTTTAATTGCAATCATCCATATAGAGGCTGATTCGAATTCGAGGGCCACCATGGGGATCTCGGGAACTGTAACGGATAGGTAGGCAGTCTAAATGCCTATTTTGATGCTTAACCAAATGCAGTTTTGAAACTGAAAAAATTCCGACTACTTTCGGAGATATCCGGAAAAAAACGAAAGACTAGTAAAAACAAGAGATTATCCAGGATTGGTGGAGCATTTAAAAATTTTACTTTCATTTTAACTACCGAAATTGATTTATCACGGTCACAAATACCAAAATATTACAAAAGAGCAAAAAGTTTCCAAACAACTCAGAAAATCAAATTGTTATTTTACATCTACCAGTGCCTCACCGAAAAAAGTTCAGGGGTGGCAAATGGAACATGACCCCTGAAAAAACACAACCATTTGATTTTCTTATAACAACCAATTCTGTTCCATCTGTTCGAAAATGTAGCACTTTGAGTCAGAACACATTCAAGAGATTATTATTCAAAATCTATTTTGCCGATGGACGCTCCTTATTTTTTGGGGGCGAAAACTACTCCTTTTTGCCAAAAACTAAATGTCCTAAATATGGAATTCTTTGGCTTATTTTATGACTAAAAGTTCATATAAACATAGGTCTAATGTAAACGCTTAGTTACCGGTCTACAGGGTGTTCAGATTTCGAAACCTTTAAGTTGTTTTCTTTATATCTCTTGCACTTTTTGAAGTATTTGGCCCAAATTTGAAATTGTGAGTTATGCTAAAGGCCTTATATCATTAGTTATGTCAATAATAATAATATTGTCTTCATTCAACAAACTCATAAAAATAAATTATATACAACATAACAAACAATTACAAAAGCTCATATGCTTGTTGAATTCCAAGGTGAAGTTCAGGTGGGTTACAAGTAACCTGCTCTTCCACTTAACCTTGTTTCAACATATACAGGGTGTTTCATAATTGAACGTCAATATTTAAGGGGGCGATTTAAACTTCATATGAACCTAAACGTCTTAACTTTTGAGATACATAGTGGTAAAGTTTTCAAAAATACTATGTATCCAGAGGCATTTTTTAACGTGCTACATTTTTTAAATTTCTACCAGTGGCGTTCCTACGGAATTTCACGTGCCCATTTTGGCAGACATTGATGGTACGCCACTGATTTCTCTGAAAATAAAAATTATTCTTGGAATCCCCAATAATTTCTAAGCAAGATTGATCCCTTTGTTTGGGCTGTAACTTTTGATCTAGTAGTCCGATCTTGGAACTCTTTGAAATTATGGATTCTACAGGCCCGATTCTATAAGAAAATATTTTTTTCCGGGTCGATCTGAGGCAATTTTTTTTTCTGGGCAAAAAAAAACGCAGTGTATTACCTTCCTTTTTTACCAAAAATCGACTGCACCAAAATTTCTCGGGAAAAAACTTTTTCTTATTAATTTGGGTGCGTAGAATCCAAAACGATTCGTACTTTTTCAATTAGACGTCTCAATCAAAAGTTATGGGCAAAAAATCAATTTCGACAAAAAATTCAAAGGGCTGTAACTTTTGATCTAGTATTCCGATCTTGGAACTGTTTGAAATTATGGATTCTACAGGCCACATTCTATAAGAAAATATTTTTTTCCGGGTCGATCTGAGGCAATTTTTTTTTTGGGCAAAAAAAAACGCAGTGTATTACCTTCCTTTTTTACCAAAAATCGACTGCACCAAAATTTCTCGGGAAAAAACTTTTTCTTATTAATTTGGGTGCGTAGAATCCAAAACGATTCGTACTTTTTCAATTAGACGTCTCAATCAAAAGTTATGGGCAAAAAATCAATTTCGACAAAAAATTCAAAGGGCTGTAACTTTTGATCTAGTATTCCGATCTTGGAACTGTTTGAAATTATGGATTCTACAGGCCACATTCTATAAGAAAATATTTTTTTCCGGGTCGATCTGAGGCAATTTTTTTTTGGGCAAAAAAAAACGCAGTGTATTACCTTCCTTTTTTACCAAAAATCGACTGCACCAAAATTTCTCGGGAAAAAACTGTTTCTTATTAATTTGGGTGCGTAGAATCCAAAACGATTCGTACTTTTTCAATTAGACGTCTCAATCAAAAGTTATGGGCCAATTTCTACAAAAAATTCAAAGGGCTGTAACCCTGGGTTACGAGATTCGAGCATTACTTGTAGAAGAATACACGCCTTTTTGGGATTTTTATTAGTGCTGTGTAAGTTTAGCGAAGTTTTGCCCTTGTTATTTTGCTTTCGACACTTCGCTGACGCATTTGCGGGTATATTTTATTTTACTTGTTTTATTTTATTATATGCTTTTTGAAAAAATTGCTAGGTTTTGTATTAGCAAGTAGTAATGTCTAATGTCTAGATACATTTAGACACATAATTTAGGTAATAGGTAGCCAGTTTTATTAATTATGTAAAAATGAATTATTAATTCCATAAAAAAATGGTATTACGATAATAAAAATACATCCAATACAGCATGAACAAATTCCATGAGCAATATTCAATGAAGTACCTAGGTACAATATCCGAAACTTGATTTTATTTGACATTTCCCCGTAAAATTTAGATTTGAAAATGAGATCTTTACATGGTTCCACACCAATCTACGAGTAAAAAATTACTTTCTGAGGTCGTATGCATCCATTCGCCCTGGATCAGTTACCATAAATAAATATGAACCGTTACTAAAAATAAATAAAATCTTTTGGATTACAATTTGAGCAAGAAAAATATAAAACATTATTCTACGACTACGGTAACAGCCCTGGTATAATTAATAAGGCTAATGGGTAATTAGTGGTGATATAAACCACCCATATAAAAATGTATATCAGGTGTAGGGTATCTGTATTCGCCTATAAGTGAGTAGCGCAACCACAGTGCAGTACCTTATTTCATATAGGGAATAAATTTCTGTACGCACTGGATGGGATATTCGAGTTAATAATTATGGCCGCCTGGTGGCCATGTCCATGTACTAAAATATACTGTTCTCACAATAAATCTATACAGGGTGATTCAAAATTGAGTGAATAATTTTAAGGGCGTATTTACCAGTCACAAAATGAGATTTTTTTCTCTTATAATCGTTGCTTCGTTTTCTAGATACAGGATGTAATTAATTACTCAAAAATCTTTCAGCAGATTTAAATAAAATTTGGTAGGCTTATTTGTCATCGTCGGTGGGAATAAAATAAATAAAAACGCTATATGTAGAAAACGGAGCAAGTTAGGACATACGATTGTATAAAAAAAATTCTTATTTTTAGCTGGTAAATATCTTTGCACTCAATTTTGAATCATCCTGTATATTTTATAATCAAAGCTCTATACTATCTTATTTTGTCGCAAATCAGAGACGCAATCAATGTTGAAATATAATCTTTGGAGCGTAAATACGTTTTTTTTTCTAACTGGAGGCAATCAATTACCCTTTTCAAATTGTGTATTTGCTCGAGAATTGTTTTTGACAAGCTGGTATGAGTTCATTTGACAAAGAACCGTATTCAAAATAAGCATTCGCATGTCATCTGTAAGGAACAAACAAGTCGTCTTAATAAATAAAGGTCGAAGGTTTATTTTTCCATGAGAAGTAATTGCTCCACATCGATGAGACCGAAGTAATAACACGTATATTGAATGAATACCTTCCAATTACCGGTAGGGTAATTCTGCAAAACCTTAATTGCTTAAAAATAGGTGCGCAAACATGTCCCAGACCCATCGTAAGCTGGAAGACTATGTAATTTAAGAAAAGTGCTGAATACGCTTCATAAAGTTCCCTTAGCGGAGAAAATTTAATTACGCGATGTACACTTACGCTAATTGAAACTTGCATTACAATTTAATACGCTTGCCGAGACGCAACCGTTGTTGTACTTCTGCAATATTGCAGTTTGATTGTTTTACGGGGGCGAGGATTTGCATTCGGGGAGTACGTGAACCGAATGTTAACAAATAAAACGGTTTATGTCCGCAGGCCGCAATAAAACCGGCGATTCAATACCCACCACTGCCAGGTACGTAGATATTCAGGAACAGGCAGTCCTCGGATTGGTTGACGAGGAGCGGTAGCAGCTTCTTCAAGTAGTGGTAGCGCCCTTTCGGCATGAACTGTAAGGCGGCAGTTTTGTTCGTGATGTCCGGATATCTCTGGGGGCAGACGGAGCCGAAGGTGTCGGCGAGACGCGTACCGGGCCAAGTCAGTGGCGGCGCGGGTGGACGAAAGCGTAAAGGTCCGACGGGAGGGGCGGCGTACGGTACACCGCGAAACACTTCGACCGGCTCTAGATGGCGCGAGTTGAGCTCGAGGATAATACCGCGAATGGCGCCGGTTTCAATTTCGACAATTCGAGAACTGTACCTCGGACCGGCTCGTACCGCAACTATTGAAATAAACAGCAAAAATGCAATTGGCCATCTAGTAAGCATCGTCTAAATAACTTCCAGTGCATGGGCATTACTTTGCTCGTTTCCGGACTGTTTCGAAAATTAGCATACGCGAAGGAAGTGACGTTTTAACAAAACTTTCAGGATCTACGAAAGAGGCGGACCGTGCTCGGTATTCGCGACGAAAATCCCAACCGGCATCAGTCGTTGTGGGAAGTAATCGCTCCGTTTCGGTAAAGAACTCGGTACAACTAAACCGAAACAGTCCCCTCCCGAGGCCGACGCGTTTACGTTACACATTTCATCTTCTTCGTTTACTTTTCTTGCCACCTGTAACAAATGAAATATTAATTAAGGGCTCCCTTTGTCTGCAACTTTATTACTAAAACCGTATAATTTAAGCATCCTTGCTATAATAACATCTTTTAGCAGTACATAAATTACTTTCTAAATGAAAACTCGTTTAAGATAAAGCGGCTCAAACTTGTTAAGATAAGGGCCCTTTTTTATGCGCTTATTTCGCAACCCTTTGTTTTTTGAAACCGGGCAGAAATTTAACGCACGCAATTTTCGGAAATTTCAAACTCGAAAGGGTAAAAATTAAAGCGAACGTCTGTAAGCGCCACACTTTGATGTTACTGATACGGCAATTACACTTAAAATCCCCTTCAGCTCTGGCCGAACGCGATAAAGATTTTCGAGCATCCTGTACCCCGACGCCGGAATGTCACATTGTGCGAATTTATTCGTGTACAAAACTCGTTTTGTGAGAATGTGCTAAATTTATGCACTTTACGACCGTTTGCAAGATTTTCCAGCTTGCATTTCTAAATTTAGTTATCGCGTCATCATTCATTTTGCAGAAAATTGCTCGAAATGAACTAACTGAAGATGAAACGCATGCTATGAGCTAAATCTGTAGTAATGAAGTGATTAAATGAAGCGTTCGGATTGGTCATTGAACACTAAGATGACCACTGTCAATATCAGAAGAATACTGATTAATGAATCACGTAATGACATCGCACGGGTCTTTTTAGGATCGTCCTGTATACCATCCTTGATCATTAAATAGTCTCTCGAATAACAGGTCATCAATATACGCAAAATCCCGCTCGGAATCGATCTGTGAATCTTTGGAACATTGGAAGCGCATTACGCAGCCCGAAAGGCATGCATCAAAAGAGAAAAATACCGTAAGCCTGTTTTGTCCCAGTCTTCTGGTTTCGCAGAAACTTGATGATAACCGGATTGCAAGTCAATAGTTTAAATGAATAAAGTCGTTCGTAATTGATTAATAATCTCTGGCGTCGGGATGTGACAACCCCATAACAGTCTCACAGTACAGCTGTTTTATTCGGCCGGTCATAGCGAACAGGAAATAAATTAATGTCGACAGGAGGAATTGTAACGGCTTAGGTGCACTTACAAAACCCCACTTGCATAGAATAAAATTGGACCTCTACGGCACTGGCATTGATTTGATAGATTATGTTTAAATAATCTGTAACCAACCCTTAAACAACCCTTTAATAACAAATTTCCGTCTGCTTCAGGTTTGCGAAATTTTTTAAGTCATTCACCTGCTCTTATATTACGGGGGTTGTTACTTTACGTAGTACACCGAACATTTCTGTTTCTTTGATAGATTATGTTTAAATAATCTGTAACCAACCCTTAAACAACCCTTTAATAATAAATTTCCGTCTGCTTCAGGTTTGCCAAATTTTTTAAGTCATTCATACCTGCTCTTATATTACGGGGGTTGTTAATTTACGTAGTACACCGAACATGTTTGTTTCTTTGATAGATTATGTTTAAATAATCTGTAAGCAACCCTTAAACAACCCTTTCATAATAAATTCCCGTCTGCTTCAGGTTTGCGAAATTTTTTAAGTCATTCATACCTGCTCTTATATTACGGGGGTTGTTAATTTACGTAGTACACCGAACATGTTTGTTTCTTTGATAGATTATGTTTAAATAATCTGTAAGCAACCCTTAAACAACCCTTTAATAACAAATTTCCGTCTGCTTCAGGTTTGCGAAATTTTTTAAGTCATTCATACCTGCTCTTATATTACGGGGGTTGTTAATTTACGTAGTACACCGAACATTTTTGTTTCTTTGATAGATTATGTTTAAATAATCTGTAACCAACCCTTAAACAACCCTTTAATAATAAATTTCCGTCTGCTTCAGGTTTGCGAAATTTTTTAAGTCATTCATACCCATGCACTCTTATATTACGGGGGTTGTTACTTTACGTAGTACACCGAACATGTTTGTTTCTTTGATAGATTATGTTTAAATAATCTGTAAGCAACCCTTAAACAACCCTTTCATAATAAATTCCCGTCTGCTTCAGGTTTGCGAAATTTTTTAAGTCATTCATACCTGCATGTACAGCACTCTTATATTACGGGGGTTGTTACTTTACGTAGTACACTGAACACTTTTGTTTCCTTGATAGATTATGTTTAAATAATCTCTAAGCAACCCTTAAACAACCCTTTAATAACAAATTTCCGTCTGCTTCAGGTTTGCGAAATTTTTTAAGTCATTCATACCTGCTCTTATATTACGGGGGTTGTTAATTTACGTAGTACACCGAACATGTTTGTTTCTTTGATAGATTATGTTTAAATAATCTGTAAGCAACCCTTAAACAACCCTTTAAATAATCTGTAAGCAACCCTTAAACAACCCTTTCATAATAAATTCCCGTCTGCTTCAGGTTTGCGAAATTTTTTAAGTCATTCATACCTGCTCTTATATTACGGGGGTTGTTAATTTACGTAGTACACCGAACATGTTTGTTTCTTTGATAGATTATGTTTAAATAATCTGTAAGCAACCCTTAAACAACCCTTTAATAATAAATTTCCGTCTGCTTCAGGTTTGCGAAATTTTTTAAGTCATTCATACCTGCTCTTATATTAGGGGGGTTGTTAATTTACGTAGTACACTGAACATTTTTGTTTCTTTGATAGATTATGTTTAAATAATCTGTAACCAACCCTTAAACAACCCTTTAATAATAAATTTCCGTCTGCTTCAGGTTTGCGAAATTTTTTAAGTCATTCATACTTGCTCTTATATTACGGGGGTTGTTACTTTACGTAGTACACTGAACATTTTTGTTTCCTTGATAGATTATGTTTAAATAATCTCTAAGTAACCCTTAAACAACCCTTTAATAACAAATTTCCGTCTGCTTCAGGTTTGCGAAATTTTTTAAGTCATTCATACCTGCATGTATAGCACAAAATGTAAAAAAAATGTAAACCTGACAAAATATAGATCAAAACTAATAATGTCTTGAAGCACCTGTTTTTAGTGGTCACCCTATACCCGGTATCTAGAAGCGTGTTAATTTGGGCGCTTAGGTACGAAAAGTGTCGTGCCGAAAGTATTTGTATTTGTTCTAAAGGAGTGGAATATTGATTTAATAAGTGTTTCAGTCTCTGCTACCGTATATAACGCTGCAATTAATTAGCCGTTTGGAATCGTTTCCGTCAAGATATTACAATTATCTTTGTTGGGTCCGAAAACTCATGTCATTTGGAAGACGAGTGCAAATTAATATTTTAGAATTTCAACCACATGGCCATGCAGAATATTCGCTTTTCAAACTCGATCTTAACTTAACCGAGATGTTAAAGATACTGAGGTTCAGAAATTACTGGAATGTAATCGCATATAACCAGTAACAAAATAAAAACTATTTTGCAAAATCTCCGAAAGTAGTCGGTTTTCAGTTTCAAGCTACACGCCCGGGATCAAACGATGCGTTTTCAAAAAACGATTTTTAGTCTGGGATCCTTTCACGGTCGTCACTAAGAACCCCTGCGTTACTTTACAAAGTAGACGCCGAGCTAAACGCCCTAGTTTTACGTTAATGGAAATGCTGCCTCTTTGTTGTCTGATATAGGTTGAATCGTCCTGGTCACAGCATCAGCCCTTTCTACAGAAGCCGGCCCAGTTTTCCTGGTTAAAAACGGTCACAATTGCAATTATAGAAAAATGTAAACTTATTTGTGGAAAACAAACGCGAGGTGAACAAAAACGGGACGAGTATCGAAATCGTCGAGCACTTGAGGGCTATTTCAATTTACTCAAATCTCGCAAACGAATCTGTTATCGACAGATTTTTAATACACAATGTAAAACCCCCTTCGTTTTGCAAATTAACAACGCCGCCGATTCGAAATCAAAATTGACATTATACTTAATAAGAAAATGTTTTACTCGCAATTATAACCTCGCCCATTCGGAGTGCTTTTCTAGCTCCGATAATCGTTCATAAACTTCCAGCAAACACTGAAAGTGCTCTTAAACTACTCGTTAAAGTTTCCTCCCCCTTAAGTTTGCGAGACAACTTTTAGAATAAATTATCGAGGGGGTTGGGGTCGTACGTACGGTGGCAATATTTTCGGAAGGAAACATAAACAGGCGGCCATAATAGTGGGAGAAGTATCAAAATAATTTTTCCAAGTAATTTTTAATTGAGTGCGCGGAAATTGTTCCCCGGGTCGTGGGAATCGCACACATGGATTGATGTCAAATTTGGCTTATTAGATTGTGCAATGGGAATCGGATATGACATGGGGATGGAGAATAACACGGGATTAGTGTACAATTGCGATTTACGACGGTAGGGATGCTGCAGGTATCAGTTTCTTCTTTTTAAAGCACTCTGCGCCAGATTTGTTTAAGAACGACTCCAAAATTATTTGTTTTAGTGTGTATTTATAGATCACGAGGGAAATATCTTTCAAGACTGTGTAATTTTTCTTCGTTTACACGTTGCACTTTGGCTCACGTTACTAATGGGCATACAAATCGTAAATCGCACTTGCAAATGCGGAGAGAGGATTAATGAATGTTTAATTAGCTGTAAGGGTAGGTGGAATTACCGACAATAACAAAAGGGATTCATTCTGAAACGCTGAAAGGCGTCGCTATTGAATCAAATGTGTTTATCGTTATTATTTCCGCAAAGCGAGATTTATAAGTGAAGAATGTTAACCCGCTATATT